AAATGATGAAAAATTTTTTCAATTTATTTAATGATACTAAAATAGATAAAGATCTTATAATTTTAAATTAATATTTTATTTTTTGTATTTTATTAATTAATAAATTATATTTTATTGGAAAAATTAATATTTATTTAATTTATTAGTACATATAATAATATTATTTATTTTTCATTAAGTGATTTTTCAGATGTAAATTTAAGGTTCAAGTTTTTTATAATTTGATCAATTTTTGATTCAATATTAATTAAAGGATTTTTTGTATTAATTTTTTGCTTAATCCATCTAATTTTTGATCTATTGTTTTTTCATTTTCAAAATCTATTCCAGTATTCTTTAAAGTATTTTCAACTTTATTTACCTAATAATAAACATAATTAATTAAATTCAATAAAAAAAAATAATAAAAATAAAATAATAAAACATACAAGATTTTGGTATTTCATTCCTTGATCATATAATTTTGAATATACATAATTTTCAGTTTTTTGAAGTTGAATAATTAAATGATGTTCAAATTGTGTAACTGAAAATCCAATTTGAATATTATCATATGTATACCATTCAACTCTTTTTATTTTTGGATAATGTTCACAAGCATCACCATTATAAAATCTTATACGAATTCTAAGATTATAAAAATCACTCATTTTAATAAATATATATTATTATTTTTTTTTTTGGTAATATTATTTATTAATTAAAATAAATGATTTTAGAATTTATTTAAATATTCAGTACATGTGATTATTTTTTTATTTTATCTGTAAGAGAATCTTCTGAATTTATAGTAATGTTTAAATTTTTCATAATTTGATTTATTTTTGTATCATCAGAAAAATGGTTTATTTCTGAGGATTTTTGTTTTATTTCATTTAATTTTAATAAAAGTTCATTATTTTGTTTTTGAATAAATATAATTTTTTCTTGATATACACGATGAGCAACTTGATGAATTAATCCTTCTATTAATAAATATATAATATTTATCAAAACAAAATAAAAAAATTATAAATTTAATTAATAAATTTCTTACCAGCCCAATAATCAAAACCTTTATTATATGCATTTGTTAAAATAGATTTAACTCTATTAAATGCTTGATTTCTCATATTATCAATTTTTCCATCACCAAAATATGCAACAGTATTAAAATCATTAATCATATTAATATAATATAAAAGTCCAATAGTTGCTTCATAATTATTTCTATTCTTAGTACCAAAAGTAGAAGTCCAATGATTAATAGCTTGTGAGATAATTTCATTAATTTTTGCTGAAGATAATTTATTCATATTAAAAATATTTTATAATTTCTGAAAATTTAATGATTTTATTCAATTTATCATTAATTGGTTCATTATCAGAAAATTTTATATTTAAATTTTCAAGAATTTGATTTATTTTTAAAATTTGATCAGATAATAAATTATTATTTGATTCATTATTTATTTCATTTTCTTCAGAATTATTGTTTAAATTATTTTGATCATTTTTATTTATTAATAATAATGTTTGAAAGACATGATGTGAAACTTGATGAAGTACTTCTTCAGCCCAATACTAATATTTTCTACTATAGATTTCTGTTACAATACTTTCAACAGCATATTTTGAACTTTTTTTTATTTTTTCAATATATCCATCATGATAATTCCAAATAGTAGTAAAATGATTATTTATCATATTGATAAATTCATATAACCCAGTTTTTACAAGTTGTGTATTTTCATGTCTTGTGTTAAAAAATAAAGTCCAATATTTAATAGTTTCATTAACAATTTCTTCAATTTGTTCATTTGATAATTTATTCAAATCTTCTTTCTTTTTATTCATTAATAATAATTCTTGATAAACACGATGAGAAAATTGATGTAAAAGTTCTTCTTGCCAATAAATGGGTTTTGGATTATATTCATTAGTTAAAATATCTGTAAGATTAATTTTTGCATTAAGTCTAATTTTTTCATAATATGTATCATTATAAAGCCAAAGTTTATGATAATTATCATTTATCATATTGATAAATAATTTTAATCTGATTATTGCAAGATATGTGTTTACATGTTTTGTTTTAAAATAAGTAGTCCAATGATCAATTGTATAATTGATAATTTATTAATTTTATTTTCAGATAATTTATTCATAAATTTTTTTTTTTTTATTAGTTAATTAAATTAAAAAAAAAAATAAAAGCTGAAAATATTTATAGGTATAACTTGGAAAATGATTTTAAATATTTTAATTTTGTCATATAAATAAATAAATAAATAAATTTAAATTAAATAAATAAAATATTTATTGATTAATTATGCCAAAGATTACATCTAAAAGATTAGATCCTAGCAATCCTAATGAGTCTTTAGTTGAACAACAAGTTCATGGTGTTGAAATTAATGAAGAAAAAGAAACAGATGAAGAAATTGAAGTAATATCAAATAAACATTTAAAAGAAATAAAATCTTGGATAGATAGTACTAAACATTATAGTTTATCAGGAGTTTTTAATCGTTTACGTATAG